CCCAGCCAGCCTTGCTGGCTGGGGAATTCTGGGAGTTGAAGTCCACCCATCTTAAAGTTGCCAAGGTCGAGGAACTCTGATTTAAATAAAGGATGTTTTAAAATAAACAGCAACGTCCGAAGGAAACAAGGGGTCATTTCTGAATATAATGTTGAACCTATTTCTGAACAGAAGATGATGGAACCTGACAACGAACATTGACACAACCAGGTTCTATGGAAAACAATGTCAGCGAAGCATGAGCTATACCGAAAACCCGGGGTGGATTCTACAAGAGGTTGGAATGCGCCAAAGAAAAGGAAAGAAAATGGCTTAAGCGGTTTTTTTCCGGTTGCATTATTCGTAATGTCTCGTCCACATAAACGTTATTTAGTAACGAATCAACTGCAGTGCAACATTAATCTCGAGCCACTTCCGCCTATGGAGTTAACGTAAGTAAAGAATATTATGTTGCAGCATAATATTCTGATTTCCTGATTCAGCAGCAGCCCAAACCTTACGTCGATTGGAGTCAAAGATCAGAATGGGCTCCACATCCAACCCTTTTTCCTAACCTCTTCTATGGGCTACTCTTGGCAAAGAACAAACAGTCGGGTGGTCCAATCAGAGATGGAAACGGTTAGAAAGGGGCGGGAATTGAACCCTTTGTTTGGCAGGTTGATGTCCCCGCCTTCTTTGCTCTGCTGTTTCTGATTGGTCCGACTAAGCATTCTGTGTACACATTCAAGCCAATAAGGCATTGGAGATTGTCCGCTCCTCCCTCCAAGCACTTTGATCTCCCTTTCCCTGCGGCGTTCGGAAGAGTTTAGCAGGGGCTATATTTTGGGTAGGAAAGTTCTTATCTTAAATACCGTTTGACTTTTTTTCTTTTTTTTCCAATAATGTGGGGCTGGGGTGGCTAATTCTAGAAGTGTTGCTTCTGTTAGGTTAAAATTAAATTTGGAATAGCTGTGCAAAGAAGAGATTCTTTTGAGCGCTTACTTTGCTAACTCCGATCACCTAATTCCAGATGTTTTGAAGCGGCTGGTCGTGCTTCCTTTGGGGGAATAGGGAGAAAATGCTCTCTGCACATGGTCAGAGGAACATATTTTTTGGTTTCTTTTGTATATTCCGAACTCCATCTTACTTGAGACATGTCTCCCCCCCCCTTTTTTTTTTATGCTCCATTCCTTAAGAAAAATAGGAATAGTATGCAGGGTTGCAGCACTTCTCATTTTAAATTGCTTTATTTGGACCAGTATTTTTCAAACTTGGCAACTCTAAGGTGTGTGGACTTCAACTCCCAGAATTCCCCAGCCAGCATGAGAATGACTCCTAAGTGTCTTCCAGCTGGATAGGAACATGATCTAATTCAGTGATTTTTCAAACTTGGCAACTTCAAGATGGTCATGCTGGCTGGGGAATTCTGGGAGTTGAAGTCCACACATCTTGAAGTTGCCAAGTTTGAAGAACACTGCTCTAATTTCTCAGGAGGAGGCTGAAAGTCCTTTGAGTGTGCTCAGAGTTTTGCTAGATCCTTGAATCTGGTCTGTGATCCTGAAATTAGTTTCTGGGGCAGGACTTTCTGGATTGCACCTAACAGTTAAGAGAACCCTCAGTGTAATTAAGAGTGCTATTAAGAGTCAGCAACGCTGGGGGGTATTTCAAGGGGTTGAGAAAATGATTCTTCTGTGCTCATT